TGCCGAACATCAGCGAAAAGGATTCCCCCTAACGACTGACCTGCTCGGACACACCAATTCCCCAATCCTCATGGCCCCAAAGAATGCGAAAGAAAAAGCGAGGAGAAACAGCCACACCTCAGTCAGAGAAACACACCTGCGGGAGCACCCTGCATAATTGTGTCAGGAGGGCACCGGAGACAGGCCTCCTAGAATCCACAGAAACCCGACCCCTGCGCAGACCATTAACCGCTTGCAGCACCAGAAACTCTTTGGTCTCATCTGCTCAGCCCTGACAAGAGCAAGGACCCCACCGAAGGTGACATGCCCGCAGGAACCCAACTCTCCAAAAGCCGCAACAGACCCTGCAATCGAGCGTGAGAATCCTGAAAGACCCCTACTTCTGACTCAAGATTGCCCGAAAGCTGATGGAACCCTCAGCATCCATATAGAGGTGAAGAGGTAAACTGGACAACTCAGGCCCCTGCCAATAGGACCTCCCATTATAAGCATCCAGGAAGAAATCCCAGACTGCCAGGTCATCCCGCAACTGCTGCATGAGCCGAATAAAATGCAGCAGCCTTGCTATCCTAGTGGTTGCTGCCACCAGGCGCCTGCTGAACACCCTCCCATACGAGAGGCGAAATTCAATTTCCCCAAAAGAGACTGCAGATGGCATAACTAGATCTTCTGCAGGCCCCGAACCACCGCCACAGCCCGCGGAGCCCTTCCACCTTATCCCGCGGCAAACGGCACTCCATGACCACCTAATCAACACTGATGCCCAAGAAGCGAAGGCTCGTTACCGGCCCCTCCGTTTTATCGTGAGTTAGGGGAACCCCAAAGCGGCCAAACACCTTTTTCACCATGTTGAGCAAGATTCGACACGTCAGGAAATTCGCCGAGCCCACACACAGAAAGTCGAGATAGTGCAGCAGCGAGTCGATCCCCAACTCCTGACGCACCACCCACTCCAAGAATGTGCTGAAACATTCAAAGTAAAAACATATGGATATGGAACATCCCATCGGTAGGCACATATCCATGTAAAACCGACCATCGAAAACACAACCAAAGAGGTGATGGCTGGATGCACCGGCAACAAGCGTAATGCCGATTCCACGTCCGCCTTTGCCAGCAACGCCCCAGGGCTTGCCACCCAGACCATGCGAACAGCAGCATCGAATGAAGCGTAAGACACCCGACACAGCTCCGCAGAGATATCTACATTTACAGAATTCCCATGAGGGTACGATAAGATGAATTAAGCTACATTTCCCCGCCTTCTTCTTGGGCACCACGCCCAAGGGGGACATGCGCAAATTGGGCAGTGGAGGAATATCAAAGGGCCCTGCCACATGCCCTAGCGATGCCTCCTTCCGAAGCTTGTCCAGGACCACCATAGGAAAGTCCTGCACCGACTTCAAATTCCGAACCACCCCTGAGGGGGGGCGTTCGACAAGGGAATCCAGAACCCAGGTTCAAACCCCTCTATAAGTAATCCAGCTTCCCGACTGTTTCTATAGCGGCCAAGCTAGGGGCACATCTTGTTTATGTCCACCAGCATCATCACCCTTAGCTCCCGAGTCGTCCTTGTCCCCTGTCTTACCCTGCTTAAAGCATCGCGAGGCAGAGTGGGCACCTCCGCAGTGCGAGCATTCATGCTTAAACTGGCACGACGCACCCCACTTGCATTGAATGTCATTGAATTTCCAACCTGGTTGCCTTTGGTGCGCCACCAGGCAAGTCATGACGGAGAGCCAGAGGCCAATGTCTATCAGATCCCACAATATAGAGGGGCGTACCGCGAGCCGTTGACGAAATTGCTCGTCATATAGCCACCAACCCAGGCCACCATAAGTACGACAAGCGTTCCATATGGTGTCCTGATAACAGAACAATGCCAACTAATGCCTTCTCCCCAATCACGCTCGCCAAAATGGAGAACGCCAGCATCCAGTTCCCGAAAGACTTGGGAATCTTCCTATAACTAAATTTTTCCTTATCTTTATCAGACTCTTTCCAATTCTTGTACCCCAGAGGAGGACTGTTCTCCAAGGGCAACAGTGAAAATATCTCGACAAATTCCCCTTTCCAGATTTTTTTCCCCTAATTTTTGGCTTCAGATGCAAACCCAGGGGGTCCGACCAGCACATAAACGCCGCCCCTTTTGCCAGGTCCACAACACCCATTGGATCCTCCAAATCCCCAGGGTTGCTCACTGCCGAGGGGGTTGCCAACCCGCAACCAACCACCACGCTGGGAACCAAGCTTACCACCCCACCCGCCTGTGAACCCGCCACGGGGACAGAAGTTACCACACAGAGCGCAGCTGACTATCCAACCCCTGGGGCCCCTGCATCAGCGCACCCACTGAGAAAGGAGACCCCGCAATTCTGACATAAACCCACTTAGTCCCAATTTCCAACCTGGTGGCTCCCCGGGAAGTTGGAGCAGACACCTGGGAAATGAAATCCTGAGACTGCACTGTGGTTCTTATTCTCACAGGAGCTGGACAGATCCGGCAACTGTACCCAAAGCCTGATGAAGCAGTGGAGAGTCAGTGAGCCCAGATCCAGAAACCCCCAGAGGCAGACAGCCCACTGAGATGGTAGGGGATGGTAGAACGGCGAAGGGGGGAAGCCATCCGGTCGACAGACCCTGTCGGCAAAGGAGGGTGGAGAACAGAAGGAGGGGAGCCCAAAGGCCCTGAAACTGGGGGAGAAACTCCACCCAAAGGCAGTAGGAGAGACCCACCCCGCATGCCCCGCAGGGACCTACTTACCACTGCCGGTCAGGACGACATCTGGCCACTGTGCCTGGCAGGAGCACGGCCCGCACTCAATGCTGCTGCCCTGACACTAGGGGCAGCAGGGGAAACTGCAGGAGATGCATGCCACACGCCATGTGGCTCCAGCGCATGGACCTGTTGCTGAATCTGGCCCGGGCTGCCGCTCCCATACCGGGCCCGAGGAGAGGCACGTGGGCTCAGCCGAGCCGGAGGGTAGGTGCGCTGACCCGCGCTAGCGTGGCCACCCTGGGAGGAATGCTGCGGGAATGGAAACAGGGGGAGCCACACCGTGGGGAGGGGAGACCGCACCGCCAGACGGCTGGGACTGGAGTAGGCAAGCAAATTGCTCGCGGAGCTGCCGTCCACTGCTGCTTCAGCCCTGAGGGCTGACCGGATGGCCTCAACATCCATGCCACAGGCCGAAATCACCAACAGGAGGAATTTCAAACTGTTGCTGGCCTAGATCCCAAGTGGCACTGATGTTAGCTTATTTTTTTCACTGCCTACTTCCTCACATCCAACACTCCCACACATAAACAGCCAATCATGTTTCATTCATTCCCACACTCATACATGTGCTCTTTTCCACTTAAGCTGTGCACTCTCCCTTGGGCCTGAATGCTGATACTACAGGCTGTCTGCTCAACAGCTCTGCAAGGGTTAAATGAATCGAATACAAAGGGAACTGAAACAAAACAAAGAGAATGGAAAGGTTAATACCAAGACTTTAAAGTGGCAACGCTTAAAAGAACACTAGAATGTTAGCAATACAAAACTGTGTTCTTAACACTATAGTGTAGCGGATGGCACTGGGCTGTCCTGAGAATTACATGTGTTTGAATGCATTCGTGTAAAATGGCAAAGTTATATGTGTTAAATGTATTGTATTCGTCTGAATGTTAGGTAGTTTCATTCCCTTAGTTTGTTCGAATGAAACTACCGAACAGTCAGACCTCCCCTGTGTGAAGTGTGCCTTCAATTACCCGTTGAAACATTGTTGCGAACGGGTAATTGACAAGCTGAGTAGCAGTCCTTTGTTCTCAGGGGTGGCCGCCATTCAGGAAACGAACACGTGGCGGCGGCCATTTTAAAACTCCCGAACTGCTGGGTTTTGCCGTCGAGTGTCTGGAACTCGGACACTCGACTAGGCGAACACCGCTGAGACCTCCACAAGCCCGGTCCGTTCGGTTCCAAACTACCGAACGGCCCCTCGTTCGGTAGATAGAAACAACCGAACGAGGGGATTCAGGCGAACCCTCCCTAGTCTCTGTAGCTAGAGGCTTTCGTGCAGTTTATTCCCTTACTCCAGGACCGACCGCAGGGCCCCATCGCATGGAACCCCATTCGGCTGTTCTCTCCAGTGCGGTCGGTCATTTTATTCCCTCCATAAATTTCCCGAACCCCTGGTCTGATCTGGGTGATTTTTGGATATGTTGTTCACCCAGATCAGGGCTACCAGGGGATGTATAATTTAAAGTGGTACCCCTAAGTTTAGGGGTACATCCAGAAACGGGGGGAATTGGTGTCCTGGATAAGGGGATTATGATGCAGGCTGAGGGGAGGAGATGTGTGGGAGGTTACCAGAGCAGGATTGGCTATTGTACAAATTAATGGAAATCCCTCCCTTGCATGGGAGCAGGCTTTATAAGGCCACTGTGTGAATAAATCTTTAGTTCTGCTCCTGATACTGTGTGTCGTCCAGTTATTGGGATTGCTGTTGGGATACTGCTGTGTTATTTTGCCTGCTGGATACTTTACCCTATGGATTTATAATTGCTTGTTCCGGAACCTCCCTGGGATCTAAAGTGGAGATAGGCTGTGTAAAACCAGCTCTCCGCTACATATAGTATCCCACTACTCTCACCCCCTCCCCTCCATGGCAATGAAGGAGTTTAAAACACTTATCTGATTCTAGCGCTGAGGACCTTAAACTATATGAAGCAGCAGAAAGTACATTTAGTGGCTGTCTGATAGAAAACCAATAGAGGCAGTCTTAATCCTGTAATATTAACATTCTCTAAAACTGCAATGTTTTTACTTGCATGGTTAAGGGGACAGGGGCTCTGCACCCAAACCACTTCAATGAGATTAAGTGGTCTCGGTGCTACAGTGTAAATTTACCTACACAATAACACCTCTTACAAGAGGATGAGTATGGTACCTGTCATAGGCGTGCGCAGCCTATTGCATTAGGGTGTTCACCCTAAAGCACAAACACACGCCGCGTTTATATGTATGTGTGTGTGTGTGTGTATATATATATATATATATATATATATATATACACACACACACACACACATACATACATACACTGCTGTGTGTGTGTGTGTGCTGCATGAGGGTGGTTTGAGGGTGTTGTGTGTGTAAGGGTGCTGTGTGTGTGTACAAGGGTGCTATTAGTGTGATGTGTGTGTGACGGTGCTGTTTGTGTGCTGTGTGTCTGAGGGTGTGTGTGTGTGTGTGTTTGTTAGGGTCCTGTTAGTGTGCTGTGTGTGAGGGTGCTGTGTGTGTGTTTGTGAGGGTGCTGTTTCTGTGCTGTGTGTGAGAGGCTGCTGTGTGTGTGAGAGGGTGCTGTGTGTGTGTGAGGGTGCTGTGGGTGTGTGTGTGCTGTGTGTGGGCGGGTGCTGTATGTGTGTGCTGTATGTGTGAAGGTGCTGTATGTGTGTGCTGCATGTGTGTGGGTGCTGTATGTGTGTGGGTGCTGTATGTGTGAAGGTGCTGTATGTGGGTGTGTGTGCTGTATGTGCTGTGTGTGTGTGGGTGATTGTGGGGATGGAGGTGGGGGTACATTACCTAATACCCTCTTCCCTTCATACCTTATGTGGGGAGGAGGGATCGTGCTGCTGCCATCCCTGGTGGTCCAGTGGAGAGTGAACTCTAGCCCCGACCTCGCGAGAGAAACCTACTGGTTGAGCGTCCCGGGTCCTCTCCTGCCTCCCTCTATGCTGCAGTGGGAAGGAAGGCTGAGAGCAGAGCCGGCGCTCAGATAGCGCCGGCTCTGCATGAGCCGACAGGGGACATCCTGAGATCTCCCCTGCCTGTCTCAATACCGCACAGGCACACCCGGCACACCCTGTGTATGTAACCCTCTGGTCCACAGGTTTCATTCTGAGTATTAACCTATATCCTGTGTCAGCTATGCTTCCAGTTTGGCTCCCATTGCCTTAAATTTGAAGTTCAATTTGAATTTACCTTAAATTCTCTATTTAGCGAAAACCCTGCAGACTCTTGTCAGAGCAGTATATATCATCTGTTTAGCTTACTGTTGAATTCATGTTTCTTGTCATCATAACTGATTCCAGTTGTCTCTTGACTTTTCTGATCTTTAGAGGCAGATCTATGTATTTTGTCTTTGACTATGTTTGCTTATCTGATATTGAGTACATCTGGTGTCACAAAGTATAGAGGATTTACATCACTGAGAATGCCAATGATAATTACCAATAAAAATCCCAACTATAAAACCAATCATAAACAGATGTTGAAGATTATATAAGCTTTTTTTATATACATATATATTTAAATCAATTTTCTGCTCTTTTCAGCTGCCTACTGTAAAGAACCTACATTGATTAATGGATATATCACAGGAACCCCAACATCCTTCCATGATACTTTGGAAAAAGGATATAATGTGGGGGATACCATACAAATGAAATGTAATACTATGTATTCCTTAAAAGGAGACGATAAAATAACCTGTGGATCTGATTTCATGTGGAGACCTGCTGTGCCTATCTGTGAGAAATGTAAGTGTGCATTATTTTTTGTGAACACAAATATTTAGGTATTAATAGAGAACTTAGAAAATCTTGATTTGCACAAGAATATATTATCAGGTTTACAGCTTAATTTCTTTCAAAACATTGCTTTATTTGAATATTTTTCTTCTGTTTACCTGTCCATCACCACTATCCCAACTTAAATATGAACTGTACTTTTATTTTATATTTCCAGGGAGATCAATGAAGATATAGCATCACCAATGTATATTAGAGGTGTAAATACACAAAAAACAAAAAGTATGCAATGTCTGGTATTTACAACACATATGTTATTCATGTATGGCTCTGAAATATGTCCATTATTTGTGAAGTCTTTAAAGGATCACTATAACACAAACATGTATTCCTGACCCTATAGTGTTAAAACCACATTATAGCCCCTCTGGGCCCCTCATGCCTCCATAAATATAGCAACATCTTACTGTATTCAAGCCAGAAACTGTAGATCTGCATGCTGTTTGCCTAAAAAAAAACAAGCAGTCTGCTGACATCATCAGAAGTGGTAGCCTGATCAAATCACAGTGCTTCCCCATAGGAGGCAGATTAGAGGCAGAGCCAGCACAATTCAAACACAGCCCTGGACAATCAGCATCTCCTCATAGAGATGAATTGAATCAATGAATCTCTATGAGGAAAGTTCAGTGTCTGCATGCAGTGGGAGTAGATACTGAATGTTTGGATGCATTTTAGGCAGCCATGACCCAGGAACGATGTCTAACAGCTATCTGAGGAATGGCCAGTGAAGTTATCACTAGGCTGTAATATAAACACTGCATTTTCTCTGAAACAGGCAGTGTTTACAGCAAAAAGCCTGAAGGTAATGATTCTACTCACCAGAACAAATGCAATAAGCTGTAGTTGTTCTGGTGACTATAGTGTCCCTTTAAGGTTACTCATATTGTGGATTTGCTGTGTGGAGGACAATATGAGTAGTGTTAGTCATGATTTTATTACTTGCATGGAATAAAATATTTATATTCTCCATTGCGGCCCTTTGTTTTTCTGGCTAATCTGGATGAATGACACCTATGCTGCAAAATTCCTGAATTATTTATTTGGAACCTATAGAGCCTGAGAAGTCTTGACGTGCTCTTTATTTGTGAGTTTATGCTTTTTCTTATTTCAGTTGTATAACTACCAAACAGAATTACACTACATATTTGTTTCTCCTTCTTTTTGAATGCACATAATATTGTGGATCTGCTACTATTAAAGGACCACTATAGTGCCAGGAAAACATACTCGTTTTCCTGGCACTATAGTGCCCTGAGGGTGCCCCCACCCTCAGATACCCCCTCCCGCCGGGCTCTGGGGAGAGGAAGGGGTTAAACTAACCTCTTTCTCCAGCGCAGAGAAGCACGCAAGCGCCTCTAGCGGCTGTCAAGAGACAGCCCCTGAGGCTGCATTAACCCATTTATAAACATAGCAGTTTCTCTGAAACTGCTATGTTTATAAAAAAAAAGGGTTAACCCTAGCTGAACCTGGCACCCAGACCACTTCATTAAAGGACCACTATAGTGCCAGGAAAACATACTCATTTTCCTGGCACTATAGTGCCTGAGGGTGCCCCCACCCTCAGGGTCCCCCTCCCGCCCGGCTCTGGAAGGGGGAAAGGGGTAAAAACTTACCTTTTTCCAGCACTGGGCAGGGAGCTCTCCTCTTCCGATCCTCCTCTTCTCCTCCCATGCGGCTGAATGCGCACGCGCGGCAAGAGCTGCGCGCGCATTCAGCCAGTCACATAGGAAAGCATTATCAATGCTTTCCTAAGGACGCTTGCGTGCTCTCACTGTGATTTTCACAGTGAGAATCACGCAAGCACCTCTAGCGGCTGTCAATGAGACAGCCGCTAGAGGAATTGGGGGAAGGCTTAACCCATTCATAAACATAGCAGTTTCTCTGAAACTGCTATGTTTATAAAAGAATGGGTTAACCCTAGCTGGACCTGGCACCCAGACCACTTCATTAAGCTGAAGTGGTCTGGGTGCCTAGAGTGGTCCTTTAAGCTGAAGTGGTTTGGGTGCCTATAGTGGTCCTTTAATGCATTTTTAAAGTCACAGTGCACTTTATACGTTTAATATAACTCAATGAACTTTGTTTCAATTGTTGCTATCTTGGATTACTCAAGTTGTGTTGATCACAAACACAAGTCTGGTTTTAAAAGCACAGCGCACCTTTATATGTATGATATTTGTTGAAGTGTTTTTGAGATGCACTTAATAAGCTTGTTTCTTTATTTCTTTAAAACAATATATATTTCAGCGCCATTTATTTACTTTATTAGTAAATTGTCACTTACTGAAATAATGCAAAATTTGGCACATATGTCCATGGCAATTCTCTCTACCAAGGTTGTTCAAAGCAAGATGGTATGTAATTAAGATGGCCGCCATGAGCCAATGACATTTAAGATCTTTCCATTGTATATATGTGCCTTTATTTCACTATAATATAATAGAGTTATATAACTATAATAGAACTTGATAAACATATGATTACTCAATGTGCTCTAGGTCATAGGAAAAAGGAAGGGTCTGTGGCCATTTTGAATTTAAAAAAAATACAAAATAAAATTAAGCCAATTTTGCCAAAACATAGAGGTCTACTGTGAGCTTCTGCATGTGAAATATGGAAGTCAAAGGTCACATGGTGTGACAGACATTTTGTTTTTTCTGTGTCTTTTTCAAATGTTTTAAAATCTTCTCTGAAACCATTAATGGGACATATGTGAAACTATGTTATAGCGTATAGTCTGTTTGGTTCAAGATAACTCAGTAAGGCATGTAGTTTGGCAGCCACTTTGAGATTTTTAAAAGCAAAGTCACTCTGACACAGGAATTTGTGGACATTTTGTGGTAGTGTTCTGGCCGTGTTTTACTGAATCCTTGTTTTGTATATAAGTGGGCCATTTGACCATGATTAACCCCTTAAGGACTGAGCCAAATGTACATGTTTTGATCAAAATAAAACGAAAAAAAAAACAAACTTGGAATTTGACTATATATCTGTTCAACCGTAATTCACCTCTTTCATATTACGTGCACCCACACTTATTATATATCATTTTATTCAGGAGAAATAGGGCTTTCATTTAACATAAAATATTTAGTTATGAAACAGAATTTAATATGAATAAAATAAAAATTGAGAAATTAAGAAAAAAATTTTTTTTAGTTCTGCATGACATTTTAACTGTGAATGTCATAATACTGTTAGCTTTTACTGCAATAGAATACACATTTGTATTCAGTGATGTCTCACATGTAAAGAAGTACCCCCTATGTACAGGTTTTGTGGTGTTTTGAGAAGTTACAGGGTCAAATATATCATGTTACATTTTTTATTTTTTTCCCACTGAAATTAGTCAGATTGGTTATGTTGCCTTTGAGCCCAGGAATGAGAATTACCCCCATGATGGCATACCATTTGAAATAGTAGACAACTCAAGGTATTGCAAATGGGGTATGTCCAGTCTTTTCCTCATTTGCTGTGAGTGGGTAGGGGGGTTGTAAGGTGGGTAG